AGGAACACCCCGTAATATCCACGAATTGTTAATGAGTCAGAGAAACAAGCAGGGATAACTGTAATGAGCTTTCTGAGATCTATTTTTTTTTATTCTTCTCTATATCTATCAAAACGGTAAGTTGCAACCATGCGCGATATGGGAGCAATAGTTGTTTTGCAGGTTTGAACAGCCTCTTTCAAGGACAGGAGCGCCGATTCGCTGAGAATGAAGAACCGACACTGTGAAAACCATTTAAAGATTCAGATGTGTATCAGACCAGAACCTAAGCAAAGCAGATAGGGTATGAACGATGAGAATGAGAAGTTCTCACTAAGTGCAGTTACCAGCGAACCAAATGGCTCCCATAAATGAGTGATCATAGCGAATCAGTAATGCGTAAAGCCAGTGATTCTGCTGAAAAGTAATATTTATGATTACTAACAGATGCAACAAAATAACGAAATACACCGAGTAAGAACTTTGCATAAAAAGAGTTACAGCACAGACAGCTCCTAAAGCTGAGAGACTGCATCTCTGAGGACAATAGAACGCAGTCACAAAACATGTATCAAGAAAGATCCGATTGCAAGCACCATATCAAACGCGTGATGTACGTCATTTTGAATTCATCCAGACCGCATACATTTACCCGATTGAAATGGACGAAAGACAGAAAAAGCCAGACCCAGTAATGCATTTCTCTAAAAAAAAGTCGTCAAACTTTTGTCCAACGTCTTCAATATGAGAAGTAGTCGAATTTAGGAGGGGCGCGAGTCATTACAATCAATTTTTAGAAACTGATATCCTGTGCCGTAGAAACCCTGCAGGGGGTGAAAACTGCAACAGTATCCAAGTATTATTTCGGGCAATAGCGCAGATAGGTTAGAACCCCGAACCTCGCGAAGGGAAAGATGTCAGTGCTAGAGACTTCACCCACTTGACAATCATTGAAATGAATTGGTACGATTCATTAATGGGCAACCAGGTACTATTTGGAAAAAACTCTCTTTTTTTACTCATGGATTTGTTCAGCGGATCGAGGGATAGATTGAGTTGCCATTGAGATACATTTTCCGGGGGAATCGGTAAACAATCCAGAATGCAGCATAACAAATAGGGGTAGTGTATTTTTATTATAACAACCATATGATCGATCGTTTCGGTAGTATTCTGCATGTCATCGTTGTAAGGGATGTTACTTACCCTGCCTAGAGTAAACAACATAGCCTAGCGATTCAGATGTCTACGCATCTTTCAAATTAACCTTCTTCAGAATCTTAACTCAATGGTATCACAGTAAGACAAGTCCCAGGACTAGACGCTGCACAGTAACATAGTTTCACCTACCTGGGATGATCGGTGTTACGCATACCTTTCGGCGGTGAGTGTGTCTAACCCGGTGAGGTGTTGATTCCACGTTGCAGGCGCCTCTATGCCACAATGAGTTATATCGATCGAAATGAAATTAGCGAATGTTTGTTTTTTTGAGGTCGCCGTTCGACACATCGTTTTGTATGCCCTTCAATACCGCTCCTTTTAAACATGAACTCATTAGAGAACTGGATAGGTAATTATGTACGCTTGGATTTCACAACTGATCTACTGATAAGTGGATAACGATGATCAAGTTTAAGCAACTTCGATATCTCACGAAGATGGTAAATCGCACAAGTGTAACAAACATCAGATGCAATGATTCTTGTTGACCTGTTTCAGTTGTTAGTGCAGGGACTTTTTCAAACTGAAGTGGAGATTGGTGGGTCCGTAAGTGTGCTTGAAATACGCAGATTCAGAGTTTATGCGCACAGGAAACTTGACCACAAACAAGCATCGGGCATTCTGATAATGAGGTGTTGGATTGATTGACCGACAAAAAATCCAACTGAGAATGTAGTTTGCAGGAACAGATGGGTATCAAGGATAAGTAAAAAGTCTGATTGGTATGTAAAAAGGTTAGCATATCCCTGATTACACCTTTGCGAAAGGGAAAAAGCAAAATTTGCAAACCTATTTACTTCGTTTATTCAACTTTGTCGCAAAAACTGTGAACGAATAAAACACGGACCGATGGTGGACTTATCAATATTGCAAGTGAAACCTAGAACATAGACAACGATCTGTGCGCTAAGAGATGACCATCGAGAGCAAGGGCTTCAGCTTGGCATATTTTCTTGAATGTCTAATGAGCTGTAATATTCACCTTAGAGGATTATTGACAACGGCATTACAGGAGGAAGAATATTATAAACGTGATTGTCATTCTGTTTATTCGTAAAAACATCACGAACCATCTACAGCCTAGGTGGTCAACATATGCCACGGATTGGAGAGCTATTGATCGACTTGTTCAATGTAGGTAACAATCAACAAGGTCAGTTGGTGTAATACTCACGTAGTTCTCTCTTCAAAATATTTATTTCATTACGCTGGCTTAAAACAGTTTACTCATTGGCTGACACTACATGTTCCGCTTGTGTACAGTGAGCAACAATGAAAGAAAGCTCATGGGAGTTAGGCTATAATATGTCAAAGGAAGATGTTGACGCCACTGAGCGAGAGATACCATAGTCACGAGAACATAGTGCGTTCACTCATGATGGCCAGTAAACCTGGTGTGGTGAGCCATACCAAGGCCTCTTAGAATATGGGTGGCATTGAGCAGAGCGATGCTGACTACCAACAACGTTGTTAGTTCAAACCTCAGACCATCGGGGCCACGCAATAGCTATAGTGACAGTGATCTAAACGCTCAAATATGATCACCCCGTTTGAATAGAAAACAGGAGGAATAGAAATGAATGATTTCTCATAAAAGCTGAACCTGAAAAATGAGCGATAAAAGAAACTATTGTATGGTGTCTATTGAAAATCTTAATCAATCACGAAGTTTGAGGAGAATAAGGTGATTAATCGGATTGCACAAGGAATATCGAGTTCGTTATCGCTGGGTTTTTCAGGTCTTGTTTTGAGACTAGTGCTTCAGGGAATAATCCAAAAGTGACTGGTAATTTCGCATTAACATTTGGTGTCTGAAAAAATCTTTTCATCACTACCTTCATCAGTGGAAACTTGAGCAGACTCTGAGGAATCAGATTCACTGACATGGACAGCAGGAACCGGTGGCCAACCAGACTGGTACAGGGAATTCATTGAATGGCGTTTGTTTGTTTTTGGATCATTACAAATACCGGAATTTAGTGCAGTGTACAGCTTCACCGGAAACTGTATGACACACTGTCACTCACTCCCGTCACCCATGGTTAATGCTCATACGATCGACGTGTGTGTGTGTGCGCGCGCATGCGTGCGTGAAGGCACGTGTGTACGCATAGTGTGAGCAAGTAAAACCGACGTCCGGAGCAGGGATCGGGTACAAATCTACCAGTCAGATGTGATACTTTGCACTAACCTACGCCAACGAGCTTGGCATCAACTAACGAGTGCTCAAAAGCGAAGAAAAAAAGGGCAGGTGGAATTTGCCAAGTGATGAGATAAAATCGACCAGGTGTCTTGGAAGGAAATCAAAACAGCATGCATGGATCGCTTTTTTATTCAAGTAAGATCAGATGTAAAAGTAACAGAACAGAATAGCTGGGATTTTTGAGAAATACATACATGTACCGTTATACAGGCACGTATTGAAACTCCATTGTAAAAACCTCACCATTTGACTAGACGAAAGAGGATAAATATGGCAACGGTACTGTTCCAAATTGAAGTAACCCAGATTTACAGAGCAAGTATGCACGTGTACTGTGTTTCGGTGAAATGAGAGTGCGAGAAAAAAAAGCTTACATTACAAATACCTATCGGCAGAGTATCCTGTTCGGACATGGGGAGAGTTGAATTGGAATACAAACAACAAAAACACTGATGTGGATGGATCAGTGGAAAAATACAAGATTAAATATGTATCCAGTTTTAAATAAGGTGAACAATCTTCGTGTTTTGCGTTTGACTGCACATTTCGTTCTTGTATTCACTGTTACATTTTCTATGTATCCGCACGGTTTATCATACATACACTGCTCTGTTTTCCTTCTTAAGCTTTTTTAATTATCTTTCGCTGTGACAAGTTTCCGGTTAATGAGGATGAAATTTGATACAATACGACTTCAGAGAACTGATTTTAACTTTAATTAATATATATATATATATATTAGATTACATCAGTAGGATAACTGAATTTTACTACCGGATCGCCCTCAAACATGTTAATGGTGCTCCCACCAATCACTTCACTTTGCACGAGGATCACTCATTTTTACCAATTGTGGTTAACTACACGCGTACATACGTCGAAAATACTAGATAACGGTTAATTATAACAACGATCTTGCTCATATTCATTTGACAATATTTATCCTATAGTAGCTCCAAGAAAAAGACTGAATTTATTGTGTATTTTGAGCGGGTCTCTTGCTACCTATTCCCTAACTTCGGTACCAGACAATCCCGAATTTGCATGGTGATTTAACCTTCTCTTTTTGACACGAGAGAAGCATGATCATATTGATAACAAGGGGTATACTGGAAGGGGACCTTAGAACCACCCTAATCGACGATTAGAAACACTGGGCCGAGTGTCGCAAACTGTGGTACTCTACTCTTCTTCTAAATGCATCTCATTCATAATGATCGTCCTCTCACGAAAGTGCAAAATTATTGACTGCACAAATTAAACCTACCAATCATTCTTGGAGGCCGAGTGGTTTTCTTTTGCGTGCGAACCGCTTCTCTTCACACCCAACCACGGGCAGGACTAGAAGATGTGTCGATTTGGGATGTCGAGGTCTCTTTGTGGGTTAGTGCTTGGTGTCCTCTTCGTTTCTTGGGTCGTCGTTTTCAACGAAAGACCAGCCGTCTAGTTGGTCATTCAACAAGGATTTCCCCAACGCAATTAACAAAGTAAAACTAGGATATTGATTTATTGTCGTATTTNATTTTTGAAACAGGGTTTCTGCTCAGAAGGAGTTCAGTTTATCAACCTGTGCGCGAACGACAAGCCACTCCATATATTGCATTACTGGTTCGGTTGTTCTTTTTTTCCAGTGAACTGCTGAATTGTGAAACTCCTTTACAACCTCGAAGTTTCTCGGCATACAATCAATAAAATGGTTTCTCACGAATTCCCTTCTGTTGTCTTCACGATTGTAATGGCATATATCATCTACATGGATCCCGGTATTCAGACTTTGTAGGGTAAGCTACTTATTATGTGTCACCAGGTAGGTTGCAATTGTGCCGGTGTTTTTCGAAAAAGATAATGGGTTGAAAAACCAAACCAAAATCTGGCATGAGAGTATGAAAGCCCTGACCACAATACTTGCTCATACAGGTCATGGTAAGCTTCCTGGATTGGCACTTCGGGATCAGTGTAACCGATAGTCAGAAGCGTGGGGTGTCGTCAGCAGTGACCCTCAGCCATCTGCTCTGTCCAGGTAATATTAGTCCTTATTCATTTTCAGCTTGACACGGCTTTTAACACTACCATCTATCTTCCTTTCTAATCTTTGATCTCCATGGGCAACCAAAAACGCCACACAAAAGTGTGTGGTTTACAGTTGTTGAAACTGAAACGGAAGGTTAATTGTGTTTACAATGTAACAATATTAGCAAAAGCTGGCATAGAAAATCAATCAAAGATATAGGAAACATTTTACCACACTAAACGCAGGCGATAGAACAGATTGACAAACATTGCCTTCGTGATGAATGCCGCTACAACACGGGACAACGATCTCACAAAAGACAACACAGAGACAGACATGATCTATGAGACTAATAAAGAGAACCAGGGGGATTCGCCACATGAGATGAACGCAAAAAATCCGACCGGAACGGAATGTGGAACACCAGCTTCGCGGTTATGCGAAGTAGTTTTCGGAATGAAATCCACCGTTTCACAGAAATGAGCTCATTGCAAGGGTTAGAGACCGTCTGTCCACGGAAACCATAGTGTTCCGCGTGGCGTTCTGTTTCCCGCGATAAAAGGGTTCAACAAAGTCTCAACAGTTTGACAGGCATGAAAGAAATTCTTGTGGGTCTACGTGCTACAAACTCCCTTGTATTCTATCAGTCTTGTTAACCAATCGGCAAATCGATTGCGGTTTGGCACATGGAACTGTCGCACCGGAACACGGTGTAAATGCCAATAGTGTCAAACCATGTGCACGAGACGAACGACATCTATGTCGGAGTGTACGGGGGGGGGCGGATTTCAG